TCTCTCTCTCTCTTTCTCTCTCTCTCTCTCTTTCTCTGTGCAGTCTCTCAAATGTGAAGTGACAGATGTCAATGTGGAAGACCCAGCTTGGCTGTCATAAATAACCGTAAACTGTTTAATCTTGCTGAGTTGTAAATCTAGGATTGCCAGAAGTCTTCAGTTGACTGGAACCTTAGAAGAAGAGGTGGAGGCACAGGACACATGGGGACTTGTTATTGCCCAGAGGGTCCATTTAGGAATCCATGCATTTTAATTCACTATGACAAGTATTCAGAGAGAACAATTGAGCTCTGAAAATATTGAAAGCATTTTATATACCTATAAGCTACACAGATATATGTTTTGAAGGATATTTATACACATCCCCTAAATGTATATGATATTTATAAAATAGATGTTTCTAAAATGTTGATTTCATGTGTGTATGTGTGTGTATACATATAGTGTATATGCGTATAGTTTCCATCTACTTATAAAGTGGCATAGAATTCTATTCTCCTTCCTTATGTCATAAAAGTGGCATAGAATTCCATTCTTCTTCCTTATTCCACACCAAATTCTATCTTCTTTCCTGGCCCTACTTAAGAAGAGAATAGAACAGTCCAAATATCAGAAATGTTAGAAATCTGCATATAACACAGAGTGCCCAAATGCTCTTAGTGACCTATGTTTTTATGATGAAAAGTAAAATTTGTCCCGTTGGATGTAGCAAGACAAGAATATAATATCTATAAATCAAAATATTCTAGCTCAGTGACTGATAAATTAGTAGCCCAGCCTGGTACATGTAAATGAACTGATTACATCAGGGACATAGACGATAATAAAAGAAAATTCAAGACATGATAAGGATATAGACATGAGCCAATCTCTCTCTTTTATGGACAGAATTGATGGCTAAAGAAGAAAGACACTAAACTATTCTGTTGAATAGCAACTCCTTTGTACCACTACTTGAAGAAAATAAAAATATTCAAAAGAAGAAGAAGACATACACTGTAATTTGCACAAACATGCTACAGCTGATTTGCTATTTCATTGTTTTCAAATTATATCCAGTTTAATATATACTGCAATATAGATTTCAGTCTCATAAACTCTTCACTGTTGCATATAAAAACTGGAAATAGGGCTGGGAAGGTGGCTCAGTGGTAGAGTGCTTGCCTTGCATGCATGAGACCCTGGGTTTGATTCCTCAGACCACATAAGCAGAAAAAGTCAGGAATGGCGCTGTGGTTCAAGTGGTAGAGCACTGGCCTTGAGCTGAAGAGCTGAGAGACAGTGCCCAGGCCCAGAGTTCAAGCCCCACAACCAACAAAAACAAAACAAAAACTGGAAATAAAGTAGCATTTTTATGATGGTTAGTGATAGTACGTTCAAGAAATGGAAGGTTACACAACCATTAAAACCATGTTGTAGAAGACTATTTAGTGACATAGAATGTAATTAATAGAGGGGCTAGACATATTAAGTGAACAATGTAGGCTACACAACCGGCCCTTTAGTAAAAATATACAAGTATATAAATGAAACAGAGACAGAGACCAAGACATAGGAACAAGGCTTCACATAGAAATGTTAATGGCAGTCACTTGGTGGTAGGATTGTAGATTGTATTTTGTTCTTGTTTCTGTGTCCTTCATAAATGTTCCAAAGAGAACACACACACACACACACACACACACACACACACACACACACACACACACACATGTAGGTCCAAAAGAAAACATATATGCGTTTATGTATATATGTGTGTGAATGTTTGATTGAAAAAAATTCCAAGTTAGTCAAATAATGACAACAAAGTCATTGAGTTACTACTGAGAGGACCCTAGCAAGGAAGGGAAGGGAAATAGATTGGGAAATGATTGGGCTCTGAAAACCCTGTTACTTTCCCCATGTGGTCTTTGACATAGTTAAACCAAGATGCAGGGGGATTTGAGATGGCTCCCAGAGTCACATAGGCAGGAGGTAGCAAAGTTAGTTTTCATATCATTCTCCACTGGATACCTCCAGTTTGGCTTATGGACCTGAGCTCGACCTTCTTTTGGGTTTGGGTTTTGTGTGTTGTACTAAGGATGGAAGCCAGAGCCTCACGCTTGCTAGGCAAGCATCGCACCCCTGAGCTTTGCCACCAGCTCAGCTCTGCCTTCTTGACTTAAGTGCATGCAATGGACATCTGCAATTCTCCTCTTGTATCCAATGGGGGAAATAATCTCCTAAAACAACAACAAGTGGAGTCCTTTCTTGTTTTCTCAATCAGGCCATACACCTTGAGGTAAAGATTCCAGAGCATTTTCTAAGCACTAATTCCAATTATTAGGGTTGGATGGATCGAGAACCAGAACTTGGGTCTGATTTGCAAGCACCTGTGTGATATTTGCAAGCCCTTGTGCGGATATTAGAACTGGGGCGTGAAATCCATGTTGGTTTGGTTCAAATGTATTCTCATCCCTCCTTCCAAGCCCTGAGAGTGGGTAAAGACTTCCAGGGGTCCAGGAAGCTGAGGATGGATGCTGTTATTTCCATCTGGCCCCCATGTAAGAGAACACATAGCTGCACAATTATCCATGTGCAAATGGGCAAGTCCCTTGATGTTTGGATAACCACATCCATGCCTTGTCTTGGATCTGTTACTTCTCCAAATTCCATGGAGCCATCTCCTGCATTCCTCCTCTCACAGTTGGGACTGAGAGAGAGAAGCCTTGAAATCCATAGCAGCTTGGCTTTGTGGTCCCTCTGTGTGTGTGTGTGTGTGTGTGTGTGTGTGTGTGTGTGTTATAGAGGAAACAGGCCTGCTTGTGTGTTTGACTCCCCTGTACTCCATAGGTGGACGTGGTGGTGTCTGTGTGGTCCCGTAGAACTCTGTGAACCATCAAGGAAGTTTCTGTGTATTACTCTCTCCAAATTCCCCTTTCGCTTTTGGATGGGATCCCATTACAAGGATGCACTTCCATTATGGAGAAAGGACCTAGGGAAAGGAGACAGGGAGAACTGTCATGTCTACTTTTCCTTTTTATTTTTATTTTTTAAGTGACTGATATGAAGCTAAATAGGAGTCCTGAGTGGGGAGTCTTGCTGATGAGTGTCTGCACGTGAAACCAATCCCACTTTCATTAGCATTTCGGTCCTTAGCCTGGAGATTCCGCATCTACAATGAGATCTTACCCTGAGGGTTTAAAGCTGCATCTCTGCCCTCTAGGACTTGAATCTGGGCTAATTAGAAAATGAGCCCATGCCACATCTAATTTAGAAGAATAGTTGCCAACACTTTAGAAAAAAAAGGAGCCATTAAAATCAATTTGTGGTACTAGATGGGAAGGAACAGGAGTGTTGGGAGGAAGTCTAGGTCTTCCCAGGACACTGGTCCAGTCCTTCGCTGTGGGGATGGAGTGCTAGTCCTCTCAGTGTCTGCCATGGCCCTGCGTAGGTAGAGGAAACAAACATGTAAGCAGGGGAGGTTAAAGCAGGGGACCTGTGCGTGCGTGTGTGTGTGTGTTTGTGTGTGTGTGTGTGTGTGTGTGTGTGTGTGTGATGTGCTTGGCTTCAGGTTAGGTCATGCAAAGATGTAGAGATTGTAAATGACTACTTGTGGGAGATAGTAATTGCACACTGCTTCCGACTTCTTTGTCCCTTTCTCCAAGCTTTTTTTTTTTTTTTGGTTGGTCATGGGGCTTGAACTCTGGGCCTGGGTACTGTCCCCCAGCTCTTCAGCTCAAGACTAGTGCTCTACCACTTGAGCCACAGCGCCACTTCTGACTTTGTCTGTGTATGTGGTGCTGAGGAATTGAACCCAGGGCCTCATGCATGCAAGGCAAGCGCTCTACCACTAAGCCATCTTCCCAGCCCTCTCCAAGCTTTTCAGTGGCCATCAAGTAGGCGCAAGTTCATGCTGTGTTTGCCTTCTTGTCTGTGGTCTAGGAAAGGCTGGGGCTCACCTCACCTGTATGATAGTGTTCATGGGTTTATCTGTAGATCCTGGCATCTTCTATGTAGCTAAATGACAATGGATTAGGGTTCATTTTTCCTCCTTTTCCTCAAGGGAACAGAAGGAAATATTCTTTAGTGGCAACTGAGCGTCCTTAGTCCCTTCTGCAGGGCTAGGTGATTGAACCCAGGGAAATGCTCTACCAACCTCTTTCCCCTCACTCTTTCCCCTCACATATAAATTCTTAAAGATGGTTTCTTTAGGAATACTTCTAAAAATGGAGATGGAAAATTAATACTTTTCAGATTCTTGACTTTACCAGCATTCTCTTAGGATGTGGAGGAGTCTGGAAGCTCTCCTTTCCTTTGTCCTTGTAATTTCCAAAGGAAGAACTTAGATCCTCAGATTTCCACACTATTGAAGAGCAATGAGCCATACCCTATTTGTAGCTGAATAAGGAATTCTTAAACTTTATAATAACTATATTATTATTAGTATTAATAATAATAATATTTTTGTGCCAGTCATGGGTCTTGAACTCAGTGTCTGGATACTGTCCCTGAACTTTTTTGCTCAAGACTAGTGCTCTACCACTTTTGGCTTTTTGGTGGTTAATTGAAGATAACAATCTCAGGAGCTTTCCTGCCAGGGCTAACTTTCAGCTGAGATCCTCAGCTTTTAGCCTCCAGTGTAGCAACAATTATAGGTGTGAGCCATTGTCATCCTGCTTATTGATAATGAATTGGAGTTAAGAGTCTCAAGGTCCTTCCTGCTCTAGCTAGCTTCAGTGGTGATTCTCAGATCTCAGCCTCCTGAATAGTTAGGATTACAAGCATGAGCTACCAGTGCCTGGCACTATATTATTATTAAGTGGGCGCCCCAAAAGTCTTGGAGAATTTGGATAGAACAGAAAATGCCAGAGCTCCCTCTTCACCCCACCTCTCCTAATCTACAAGTCACCCCACTCCTTTGCCCTGGTGGTTGATTATATGTCAACAGAGCCTGAGGTGCCTTTCTGTTGACCTGCCTTCAGTTCCATGCAACTTGGACTGACCATTGTTCTTTCCGGATGGTTCAGATTGGACGCCTAATAATTGGACAGAATGGCATCTTATCGACACCTGCGGTTTCCTGCATTATTAGGAAGATCAAGGCGGCTGGAGGAATCATCCTGACTGCCAGCCATTGTCCTGGAGGACCAGGGGGAGAGTTTGGAGTGAAGTTCAATGTTGCCAATGGAGGTATGTGGCTCAGAAGAATATTCCTTAATCCTGATGTCTTCCATTCTATATTATCATAATTTGCAACGAACCTCTGATGGTAGACCAACAAGGTGGAGAGGAGATGGCTTAGACAGAATCTAGTGAGCTATCGAATAAGGAAGTGATGTAATGGGCTCCCAGAACCCTCTTGTTGGCCTTTGATCTCCTCCTGTACTTCACAGCCCAATGAAGTGAGGGTTTGAAGCCAGCCTGGACAGCAAAGTCCATGACACTCTTATCTCCAATTAGCTACCAAAAAGCTAGAAGTGGAGCTGTGGTTCATCTGATAGAGCACTAGCCTTGAGCAAAAATGCTTAGGGGTAGTGCACTGGTCTGGATTTCAAGCCCCAGTATTAGTAAGTATGTGTGCACGTGCGCGCGCACACACATACACACATACACACGCACAGAATCATTTTTGTGATATTGAGTGAGGCATAAGGGAAGAAAAGCATGATTTGTGTTAGAGCATTTTTGAGATTTTCACTTTCCATATATAAAGATCAATCAGTTGAATTATGGGTTATCTTCTCTCCCACCTACTGGAATGGGTGCATTGCCATTCCTTTTTATGAGCATTTATCCGGAGACAGTTGATGGTGCTGTCCTGCAAGGCTCCATTGTCCGAGAGAAAGACATTGTGAGTCACATGTATAATTAAACCACATTAAAAATGTAAAAAAGGGAAAAGTATCGTAATACATTTTATTTAACGTACCATGTCAACATATTATTTCAGTGTTATCAAGGTAAACACTATTAATGTAATCTCTTCAAAATTAGCTGTTCATTGTACACTTGCAGCACATTTCAGCTTGACTCACTCAAATCAAGTGCTTAACAGCTAAATGGGGCTGATATTTTGTGTTATATAGGAGTTGTATAGTTCCAAGGATGGGTATGCAAAACCAATCAATGGTGGGCAAATACAGTCATAATAGCCACTATACCTATATGAAAATGGACCAAGTAACTTGAGGGGGGGTGGGGTTTGGGATAGATGGGGGGAGGGGAATGATGGAAGGAGTCACATTGATCAAGGTTCATTGTACTCAAATTGACATGCTGAACGGAAACCCTAAAGATAATAAATAAAAAGAAAAACAGTTTCTGTTTAGTAGAAAGTTCCCATACCATTGGTAAGGAAAAATTTAAACTCAGACTACCTCTCCGTCTCTCTCTGTCTTTTATGTTCTTGATCTCTCAGTTTTTCTGATTCCTACCCTTCTTGCAAAAAATATTCTAAGTGGCTTGCAGGAAGATGTACACATTAAATAAGAAGAGAAAAAAAATCAAGAACCACATTGGATTTTACATTCACAGTATTTCAAGTTTCTCGCTCTCCCCAAGTGATAATGGATCAATTGTATTTAGTTAAATTTCATCGAAAAATCTTGAGAGTAACTAAATATAGCCTAGAAATTGAGGGAAAAATCATCAATTTATCTACTTACTAGGCAGCAGAGTAAAGAGTAGAAATCCTATTTTCTTTCTCTAGGTACTTTTGGGAAGCTGTGTTTACATCTGGAATCCCTCACTTTCTGCCAACTGTGTGTCCTGAATAAAGCTAATTATGTAACCGGGTTCCCTAGCAGGTGTGAAACTATTTTTAGAGCAGATGTATGATTGCTTCGAACAAACAAACATGTGGGTTATGAGTCTACCCAGAACAGGTGAGGCTGACCACACTTCCTCCATCGTTGAAATGAATGTAGAAATACTCAGGCTAATTGAGCTGTCAGACATTGTTCATTGTGTGGAGAACAACTGAATCTTTTTCCTTCCTGGTGGAGAAAGAAAGTAACCTTTCTCTCATTGAAAGTCTTGAGATTTAAAAGAAATGTATTTGGGATGTTCACATTGTAGGTCCTGCTCCAGATGTTGTTTCTGATAAAATCTACCAGATCAGCAAAACCATCGAAGAATATGCTATATGTCCTGATCTTCGCATTGACCTTTCTCGACTAGGAAGACAGGAATTTGACCTGGAGAACAAATTCAAGCCATTCAGAGGTAATCAATGACATGTATTTTCTAGAAGTCAGAAAAAGCTTCATGGATGGGGCTTTCTCCCAAGGGGTCCTGCACATGTGGAGTCTAGTTGTGCACAGGTTGGGTGGAAATTCTCCTGGTTGGAGATCAACAGTCCCAGAAGGGAAGTGAACTCATGAAAGTCACTCAACAATTAACCACCAGAAAACCAGAAGTGGCACTATGACTCAAAGTGGTAGAGTGCTAACCTTGAGCAAAAGCGCTCAGAGACATCACTCAGGCACTGAGTTCAAGCCCATGACTGACAAAATAAATAAATAGAAAGTAAGGAAAGAAAGGAAGAAGGAAGGAAGGAAGGAAAGAAGGAAGGAAGGAAGGAATCAAACATTTCAAAATCCACTTAATAAACTACATCATTTTCAACATAGGAAAGGTTCAGTGGATGACTCCATTATAGCATTCCTGGGCCAGACTGTGAATTCTCAAAAGTCGTTTTTAAATGTCTAAGCAATCAAGTTAGAATAATTTAGTGAAGAGGAAAACTGACAAGCCAGGGTGATTATTAAATTTCCCTTGAGAAGTAGACGTTTCTTTTCCAAGGTTAGAATCATGCATTTAAGTTTCATCTTGTGCACTGTGTTAGGAGCTTTTATACAGGAATTTAGAAACAAACAAATGGGTTTAGGCAAGTTGTGTCAAGAACTAAAGAAACAACCTAGGTGTGGTGGTACTCACATATAATCTCAGCAGTCAAGAGGCTGAGGCAAGAGAGTCCTGAGTTCTAGGTCAGCCTATGCTCCATAGAACCTGTCTCCGGCAAAGCAAATTGGTAAGCAAGCATCCAAACAAACTAGCAAAAATGAATTGGACAAACGTTATCTGCTATTCTAGTAGAGTGACGAAAACTTCTGAAACATTAAGTATGCAGTCAAGAATTCAATGTATATCCTACAAAATTAAGAAAAGTGAGGGAATGGGTGGGTTGGGACTGATGGGTGAGAATCATAAGAAGGGTGATGTTGATCAAGATGCATTGTATTCATAAACTGTTCTGTTAGTGGCTGCTCTTTTGTGCAACTACTCAAATAAAATAAAGTAATAAAATTAAAACAATGACATTAAAAAGAATATTAATTCTGAACCAGGCAAGATGCATACCATTGTATGCACATCATTTCCTTCCCCTCTAGTTTTACCTGTTGCTATTTCCTAGAGGACATATAGGAAGTCATAGAACTTGGATGTTCAATTTTGTTACTGTGTCTAAAAGATTGAGTTCTCTTTGCGTTAAGAGGGTGACCTTATTTATAAGTACATTAACTTTTCTAAAAAAAAAAAAGATAAAATGTCTGGTTCATGCTAGATGCTGGTGGCTCACACTTGCAATTCTGGCTACTCCAGAGGCTGAGATCTGAGGATCGTAGTTGGAAGCCAGGCCTGGCGGGAAAGTGCATGAGTTGCTTATTTTCAATTCACCAGCAAAAAGCCAGCAGTGTAGGGATGGCTTAAATGGTAGAGCAATGCCCTTGAGCAGAAAAGCACCCAGACTCTGAATTCAAGCCTACTGTTAGCACAACACACACACACACACACACACACACACACACACACACACACACATCTAGACCATAATATATTTCAGAGAGTGAGAAATATCTTAAAATGGACCATGTGTGGGTCCTAATGCTAGGCAACACATACCAAATCTTAGTCAAATGTTTGCTCAGCTAGTGAGCAGACATTTATTGAAAGCCATGTGATACTAAGGAAAGTAACAGCACTCAGTTTTATTAATCTAGTTGGCAACATGCACATACACATATGTACGTTCACATGGCCCACGGAATTTTAGCCAACAGAAGGCAAGGCAAGGGATATGTTATATTAGACAAAATAATTTCAATCTGCTTGGCTACATATGTCTGGAAGGCCTGGGCTAGAAGATGGCTGGGGAAATAGAACATTACCAAGATGTGATCTTTATTCCTCCTTGATATCATTGGAATTTTTATACTTGTCCAAGAGTCCTAAATCTTTGGTGAGCTTGGGTTCCAGCTGTTTGCTTGAGTCACATTGTGAAGTTGGATGGCTTCTCCTAAAAAGCTGTTGATAACCAGCAGGTGGGTGGAGGGATTCTCTGGTTCTCAAGAAGAATTTGGAGATAATCGCTTGAGATAATTTATGTGCCGTGTTCGCCCCGGTTTGAGTGTGGAGCAAGGCTTGAGTTAATTGGAAACAAAGCAGTCCTTGGCGCTTTACCTTAAAGTGTCAACAGCTTCAACCACCGGATGTAAAATTTTAATTTCCTTGGACTTCTTGCTTCTCTGTTTTTGACATTTCTGTTTGGCATCTTGCGCTATCTGTTGTAAATGCCATATGTTTTTACGCAAGTGGGTCAAGGATGAAAGAAACTGAATTGTAATCTCCATCATATGGTAGAAAGTAAAACTTCAAAAAATGGGGCTATAAAATTTTATTTTATAGATTAACTTTTATGTACAAGATAAACTTTAGGTAGCCCCAAATTGACCCATTGTAGGCCTATAGTGTGTGTGGATACATTTTGCTTATTTTCTTGATTAATAGCCTCTTCATTTCAAGATGATTAAAGGTAATTAAAAACAGACTTGCTTCTTAAAAAGGAATTATTATATTGGGCTGGGAAGGTGGCTCAGTGGTAGAGTGCTTGTCTTGCATGCATGAGGCCTTGGGTTCAATTACTCAGCACCACATAAGCAGAAAAAGCCAGAAGTGGTGCTGTGGCTCAGGTGGTAGAGCACTAGCCTTGAGCTGAAGAACTGAGGGACAGTGCCCAGGCCCAGAGTTCAAGCCCCATGACTGACAAAAAAAAGGAATTATTACATTATCTTTGAGTGGACAAATATGCATTGGTTTATGAGTAAGAACAAAGGTTTTAAGGTGTGTATTTCACCAAATGAAGGGGAAATTTCACATCACATATTAAAATATAATTAATTATATATGATACATGGATTTCCTGAGAATATCATGATTATGTCATGTGTATACCTTTGCAGGGCTGTGATCAAACCAGGGTCTTGCACATGGAGCAAGTGTTCCACCAGCTGAACTGTGTCCTTAGTCCTGTGTGATTGAAAATTATTCAGGGAGGGCTGGGAAGGTGGCTCAGTGGTAGAGCATTTGCCTTGCATGCTCAGGGCCCTGGGTTCGATTCCTCAGCACCACATAAGCAAAAAGAAAAAAGTCGGAAGTGGTGCTGTGGCTCAAGCGGTAGAGCGCTAGCCTTGAGCTGAAGAGCTGAGGGACAGCGCCCAGGCCCAGAGTTCAGGCCCCACGACCGGACCCCCCCCCCCAAAAAAGAAAATTATTCAGGGAGTGATTAGAAATACCTTCAGTATAGGTTTACATATTTGAGAACTCCAAAGTAATATTTATTTGACCAATTTGAAAAGCAATACACACATATACATTTTAAAACTTCAGTGTGAACTTCAGAAGCAAAGCTCTTGCACAAAATTTTACTTCCTTAAAGAGTGAAATATTTACTACTTTGAGGAAGAATATTTTCTTCTCTTTTTTAAAAAATAGCATATATTAATTGTACAAGGAGGGTTTGTTGTGACATTTCTTTCATGTATACAATATATTCCAATCAATCTCCAGTCTCCCTTACCCTGCCACGCCCTAAACCAATTTCAACAGATTTTATTGTTCTATTTTCACACATAAAACAAGCTACTTTGACCCTGTTTATCCTCATGTATGCTCCTGGGAAAAGTATTTCTGAACACTAGTTATGTACTTATTGACAAGTTGAAAAAATGTGTTTTATTCTGGATCTTTCATACATTAAACAATGGAAAAAATTTGATTTCTGGTCATTGGGTGTTGCCAAACACTGGTAAATATTTGCATTTAATGAGGATTTTCAGGTATTTGGAGAATACCTGGAAATTGGTTATTACATTGGGTGCCAAAGAGATTTCAGATACAACTCAGGAAAATAGTCTTCATCTCTAATTTTGCTCTTGGATCTGGTGGGCACATGACATTTGGAAAAAGGGGTCACCATGTGGTCACACTATTTTTCTTCTTTTTGGTGTTGGTCATGGGGGCTTGAACTCAGGGCTTGGGCACTGTCCCCAAGCTTTTTATTCAAGGCTAGTGCTCTACCACTTTGAGCCAGAGCTCTATTTCTGATTTTCTCATGGTTAATTGGAAATAAGAGTCTCACAGACTTTCCTGCCTCTGCTGGCTTTAAACTGGGATTTCAGATCTCAGCCTCTTGAGTAGCTAGGATTACAGGCATGAGCTACTGGTGCCTGGCTTGAGGTCATACTTTGGCTTCCTACCAACTGAGTCATTCTTGGGCCAACTTCCACAGGAAAGGATACACCAAGATGATGGTTGGCTGATATTTGTGTATTAGGAGAAAGAGGTGACCGAAAGGGGTGACATTGGACATTTTTCTCTTAAATTATTCTTTTTTTTTTTGTTGGTCGTGGGGCTTGAACTCTGGGCCTGGGCACTGTCCCTCAGCTCTTCAGCTCAAGGCTAGCGCTCTACCACTGGAGCCACAGCGCCACTTCTGGCTTTTTCTGTTTATGTGGTGCTGAGGAATTGAACCCAGGGCCTCATACATGCAAGGCAAGCGCTCTACCACTGAGCCACCTTCCCAGCCCTCTCTTAAATTATTCTTAAGGTTAATTTTTTCCCTTTCAAATAAGTTATAATGATATTAGTGATAGCCACTGATCATGTGACAAGTTCATCATGTGTTGGTCATGCTTTGATTTGTATCTACAAATAGACATTTAACTTCCCAGGTGTGGTGTGAGGTTATGATGGTGTTGTGGTTGAATTAAATGCTATCCGGCTATTCTTACACGTTCAAGTCTCTTTCCCGGGTAGAGTCATTGATGTCTGGCTTGTTTTCCTGTTGTCAGTGGAGATTGTGGACCCTGTGGATATCTATCTCAACCTGCTTCGGACCATTTTCGACTTTAATGCCATTAAGAGTTTGCTGACTGGGCCCAGCCAGCTGAAGATCAGAATTGATGCAATGCATGGAGGTAAGCCATAGTTTTCCATAGATGGGTGGGTGAGAAAAGGGAAGGAGACTTCTATGTGGAGTTTTTGAACTGTGAGGAAGGTTGGATTCCTAGAGGTGCACACAACTTACCTATGCTCAGCTATTTGGAAGGCTCTGGAAAACTTCAGGGCTCTTAATGTCTTTGCTTTGGGTGTTAATAAAAACAAAAGTTGATCAAATGAATTTGAGGCTCTGCCTGTGAGAGTATAGAGTGGATTAAGACTTTATTTATTTACTTATTTATTTATTTATTGCCAGTCCTGGGGCTTGAACTCAGAGCCTAGGTGCTGTCTCTGAGCTTTTTCCTCTAGCTAGCACTCTATCACTTGAACCATAGCTCTGCTTCTGCCTCTTTGGTGTTTAGTTGGAGATGAGAGTCTTTCCTGCTCAAGCTGGCTTTGAACCTCCATCCTCAGGTCTCAGCCACCTGAGTTGCTAGGGCTGCAGATGTGAGCCACTGGCATTTGGCTAAGACTGTATTTGTTTTTAATCACAGTACCTGACACAAGTCAAATAGTTCAAGGCTAGCACTCCACCACTGGAGCTACACTGCCACTTCTGGCTTTTTGGTGGTTTACTATACGTAAGACTCTCACTGGTTTTCCTGTCTTGGCTGGCTTTGAACTGAAATCCTCAGATCTCAGCCTCTTGAGTAGCTAAGCTGTGCTTAGTTTTTGTTTTTAAAGAGTGTTTTTTATTCAGTTTTCACAGTATTCACTTTTTTTTTCTTTGCCAGTCCTGGGGCTTGAACTCAGGGCCTGGGTACTGTCCCTGAGCTTCTTTTGTTCAAAACTAGCACTCTACCACTTGAACCACAGCACTACTTCCAGCATTTCATTTGGTACTGAGGAATAGAACCCAAGGCTTTATGCATGCTAAGCAAGCACTCTACCACTAAGGCACATTTCCAGCCAGTATTCAGTTTTTATTCAGCAGTTTGCAGATCTTAGCAATGTTCAAATGATCATATAAAGAATATTGCTAAAGGAGCCCTTCAGAGCTGTGTATATTCCGAGAAAGCACTTAGTATATGAAAAGTAGCAGACTATAAGTAATTGTCCTAGAATTGATCTCTTCAAGGCCATATTTTAGAAAACTTTGCGGGGGGGGGAATTTTCACCTAATGAGATTGATCAATACATCTTATATGTGCCTAACATAGTCAGGAGCACAAAGTAGATGCTCAGGAAATCATAGCTAATGTTGATGTTCTTTGCTATCTGTTAAAGAAAAAAACCCTACAGAGTTTTCTTTCTTTCTTTCTTTTTTAGTTCTAGGCTATTAAATCACTTTTATTACTCTTATTGTTTTAACCAGAATGAAATACTCAATAAAAGGATTCTATAAATATTACCTATCATTGTGTATTCTTTTTTTATTTTTAGTGATGGGCCCCTATGTGAGAAAAGTTCTTTGTGATGAGCTTGGAGCCCCCGCCAACTCGGCAATAAACTGTGTCCCACTAGAAGACTTTGGAGGACAACATCCTGACCCAAATCTGACATATGCAACTACCCTTCTAGAAGCTATGAAAGGAGGAGAATATGGGTTTGGAGCTGCATTTGATGCTGATGGGGTAAGTAGGAAAGTTTTCCGCCTGCTGATCCTCTTACCACAGAAGGATGTGATCACTGGAAATCAGAGTATTAATGAGCGCATCTGGAGCTGATATAAAATGCAATTGGCTCTGCATCTTCTTATTGAATGAGTAGATAGTGCAATTAAATAGCCACATCTTTCTTTGTTTCAGATTAACATATGTTATCAAGAAGTGATTTCTTGGGGGGGGTTGGGGGGAGAGGGAAAGAGGGAGAAAAATGAGGGAGGGGGTAACCAGTTACTCACTGTCTTATGTAACTGTAACCCCTTTGTACATCCCCTTGACAATTAAAATTAAAAAAAGAAGTGATTTCTTCTTTAGAAAACAATGTCCATGCAATAAATCCTTATTTGTAGCTGGGTTTGTTGGAAGTGCCGTGGTAAGAAACGAGCTATTTCAGCAGGAACTCTAGGGAGAAAGTATTATGTCTGGAGGCTCTGAAATAGCCATCCACATTTCAACTGGTGGAATCCATTCCTAGAAGTGTTGAGAGTCTGAGCCCTTGTTAGTCAGGGGTTTATAAAGTTTCCCATGCTCTCTTTGGTCCCATTCATTGTTTCAAGTTACTTACATGGCAGTAAAATGGCTTGTGATGGAGATGGGAATGGGCTGCTCACAGCAGATGCTTTGGGCTGATCATTTTTACACATTCCTTCCCACAGGACCGCTACATGATCCTAGGCCAGAATGGCTTCTTTGTGAGTCCTTCTGACTCCCTGGCCATCATTGCTGCCAATCTCTCTTGCATTCCATATTTCCGTCAGATGGGTGTTCGAGGGTTTGGGAGAAGTATGCCCACCAGTACAGCCCTGGACAGGTAAGCAAGGATGTGACTGTGGAATACTTTATGGGAGACCTCTGTCGGCCAGGAACCCTTTTCTGAGGATGTGGTGAAAGTCTGGGCACTTGGATGCGTGCTGTGGTGTATTCACACGGGTATTCGTGCGGGAGTCAGGTGGAAGCCGATGGATTTTTGTGCTTTGATTTCAGTGCTTTGTTTTTCTTACCTACAAAATGAGAGTACTGACACTGTCAACCTTACATGGATTCTTATGAAGTGTGGCTAGAATCACTCATGGAAAACTTTTAACAGAATTCCTGGTCCATCGTTAATACTTCATAAATGCTTAGCTATGGAATTTACCAAACCCAAAAGTATGTACAGTATAAGTGAGTGTAGATAGCATGGAGTTGGGTCAGATTACCTTATGTACAAAAGCTTGTATTCTTATTAACGGATTGCTTGATAGATTTGTTGTGAGCCATCAATGAGATTGCATGGAAAGCTCCCAACAGGAGTTTACATCATGCTGTAGAGATTCAGGGTTAGCTTTCTTTCTTCTTGTCCTAACCAGCCCTTTCATTATTCACCTCAATTTATGAAATAGTGAAAACTCTTATATATATATATATATACATATATTCTAAAGCAATAGGTATTATTAATAGAAATCATTAAAGGAGTATAGGTATGTACACTCAGGAAGCTAGCAAACACAGGCAGCAAACGAGAACCTCTTGCTCTTCTCCAAGTTACCTATGTTAATAGGCAAATTCAAATTTACCATCAGATCTTTCCATAGAATGTACACATATGTTAAAATGCACTATATACATAATATGTTATATAATCCCCAAAGAGATCAGGATGTACATATTACTTATAACCTGCTAAATTAATAAATCTTTATGACATGTCAAACAAAGGTCATATGCAAGTTTTTGGAGTAACTTGATGCCTTTCATGGTTAGCTTTCCTAGCCACATGACATCTGGTTCTGTCACTTTAGTCTCTCTTTGTCTAGTACATCTTTCCATTTTATCTCATGACAATGATTTTTGAAGAGACCTGCCCTGTACAATCTCACTTTCAGGTTTGGGTGGTTATTTTCTTCTGGTGTTATTCATTTGATCATTCATGAAGTAAAATTTATAGACAGTGAAATGCATAAGCGTAAGCATTCAATTCAACATTAGCTATGTTGTATTAGTATTGTTATGTAAATTATTTGTTGGGCACTTTTGATCACTCCATGGTAAGTAGTAACAGAGTGAAATGCTTGCTCTATGGTAGCTTTATGTTGTTTTGCAATAAACGGCACAACGACTTTCCATTTTACACCTCAGTTTGCAATGTGTGTGAGTTCTGGTGGGACACAGTTTATTGACGAATTGTCTGGGGCTCCCAGCTCATCACGAAGAACTTTTCTCACATAGAGACCCATAACTAAGGTCTTTATTTGAGCCATCATAGAGAGTGAAAAGTATGACTGTTATGATTTAAGTTTACAACATCTCAATAACGATGGCTTTGAGCCCTTTTCAAACTGGTCTTTGTATAACTTCTTATTATGTATCTATGTGAAATGTATTTGCCCCCCCCCTTTTTTTTTTGTCTGTCATGGGTCTTGAACTCTGGGTCTGGGCTCTGTCCCTCAGCTCTTCAGCTCAAGGCTAACGCTCTACCACTTGAGCCACAGCACCACTTCAGCCCTTTTCTGCTTATGTGGTGCTGAGTAATCAAACCCAGGGCCTCATGTGTGCAAGGCAAGCACTCTACCACTGAGCCACCTTCCCAGCCCCTATTTGCCCATTTCTAAATTTGTCTCTTTGTCTTTTTGTTTTGGATTTGTGAAGATCCTTTATGTTTTTTGGATTCAATATATTTTTTTTTTTTGGGTCTGGTCATGGGGCCTGAACTCTGGGCCCAGGCGCTGTCCCTCAGCTCTTCAGCTCAAGGCTAGCGCTCTACCACTTGAGCCACAGCGCCACTTCCTGCTTTTTTCTTTTTGCTTATGTGGTGCTGAGGAATAGAACCCAGGGCCTCATGCGTGCAAGGCAAGTGCTCTACCACTGAGCCACCTTCCCAGCCCACAGATACAATATTTTGTTATATAATTTCCCTGCCTGTTTGCTTGCCTTTTATCTTCTTATTAGCATCTTTCGGTGGCTATATGTTTTAAGTCCCCAGGAACTGAGTCAGATAGGATGATGGGTACTTTGCAGGTATTTAATATTATAGAATTGTGTTTAATAATAATGCATTCCAGAAGTACAATTGGATGTAGAGGGTCCCTGGGAAAACAGATGAGATTATTTCCCAACTCTCCTTTGGGGCAGCCAGCAACTTTCTAAACAATCACCAGGAGAGGCTGGTTTCATTCAGACAACAAAACCCATTTGTCCTCTCTTCTTGTGGAAATCTTCCAGTCGTTCTGGATTTCACTTCATTCCCCTCCACCTCCCACCCTTTTCCTTTGCCATTAAATCTCCGTTTCGGTCAGAAACCAGAAGCCTTGCTTGGAAAGTTCACAAAGGGCCTGTTCTGATATGCAAGTGACCATTTAAAAGGATTCTTCATGCTTGCCAGTTGGGATTCAGCATTCTGTGGGGCTGTGACGTGGGGATTGGTTTGGGGTATTTGATCTGCATGGCGGCTCCCAAGTGGTTTCCCATGATGGGCACTGTGTAAGCATCTTTCATCCTAGGTGGGAAAAGAATTCCAGCTTCAAAACGAGGATCTGCTCGGTCTTTCCCCAAATACCTTAGGATTTCCCAAGTAATTGAATGATATCATAGGACTGTGTGCCCATCAGTCACAGGCCTGAAAGAGTAACAGCTGAGTACTTGAAGTCCCTGGACTAACCCACCTGCCTACACTCCTGGGATTCTGGAATGGAGGGGGCAGTGTGCTTCTTTGGGACTGGTGAAGTACTCAGACAAACGGTCATTGTTCACAGATCATTGTTGTGTCCCGAGGGAAGACTCCCAGTGTTTTTAATTTCTCTGCTCTTCTATGCTACAAGAATTCTATTTACTCCAGAATAATGAAGTTCTAGCCCTGTCACCATTCTTTTTGGGGGGGGGGCTCTGTCATTCTGAATGTGTCTGATTTATGGGTACAGATGAGTTGTGCTGCTAAGAACATTTTGATCCAGATGATTTGAGAGAAGTAACACACATTCCAAATATATTTGGGGCCCAAGACCCACCCCCACCTCACTTGGAGGTATTACACGACCCTCTACGTCATCATCTTTCAATGATATTTATGAAGTTCCCATTTGTACTTGGGTCTGTGCCAAGGGCTGTGAAGAAAGGCCACCACCCACAGGTAGAGGAGACCCTGGCTCACTTGGAATGTTCAAACTCTCAAGTAAGGCCAGCATCCTGAAGTCATTCTAGGAGCCAGCTCTGAGGAGCCTGGGAGGGCTGGGAATGTGGCTTAGGGGTAGAGTGCTTGCCTAGCATACATGAAGCCCTGGGTGGGGTTCCTCAGTACCACATTCTGTTTATGTGGCACTGTGTCTCAAGTGGTAGAGTGCTAGCCTTGAGCAAAAGAAGCTCAGGGACAGTGCCCATCCCTGAGTTCAAGCTCTGTGAATGGCAATTAAAAAATTCACCCTAGAAGGCTCTCACCCATAAATGTACTGGTGAAGGAATGAATGCCACTCCACCCTCTTTTCTCTTGGTGCTATCCCAGATTTCACCATTTATCCACCCAGAAAGCATTTATTGAACACTTTCTAGGTCCTAGACACAGTCTCCGACCATGGTAGAACTTACAATTCAGTAGGAAAAGACCAAGACAAAGAATAACAAATATGCAGGGCTGGAGGCATGGCTTAGGTGGTAGAACACCAGCCAATGAGTGAAAGCAAGCATCAGATAGGGAGTTTGAGTCATGGCCTTGGACCAAAATAGAAAGAAAGAAAAAGTATATAATCTAAACCCAGCTTCCACACAGAAGAGAAACCATACATTGAGTGGTATGCAGTATCTATCCATGTAATAACCAAAATATGGTAGCTTCAAGGGAGATCTCAATGAGTGTAATTCCTTAGAAAGGCAAAAATCAAAGTTCAAGAAAAGAAACACCAGGAAGTGGGCACTTGAAAGGGCTGGGGTGGGTTAAGGAGAGAAAGGTAGATGAATGAAGAGGAGAATGTAGTCAAGAATTCAGTGCATAGCCTACAGGATTAAGAAGAGTGAGGGAGATGAGACCCTTGTCCGTTGTATGGCTAGTGAAGATCTTCTCCCAATCCGTAGGTTTTCTATTGATCTTGCTAGCTATGTCCTTTGCCATACAGAAGCTCTGCAATTTCATGCAATCCCATTTGTCCAACCTTTCTTTGATGTGTTGTGTTTCTGGGTCTCTATTAAGAAAATTTCGGCCTGTGCCAAGGAGACCTAGGGTTTCTCCTATTCCATCCTGTAATGTTTTCAGAGTGTCTGCTTTGACTCCGAGGTCTCTCAAAACATTAACAACAAATCTTCAAAGAAACAACTGCCCAATAAATAAGGGGCTAAAGACTTAAAGAGAAACTTCTGTGAAGAGGAAAGAAGGATGGCCAATAGACACATGAAGAAATGCTCAACCTCTCTAGCCATAAAAAGAAATGCAAATCAAAACAACATACCAGCTCACCCCAGTTAGAATGGCTATAATCAAGAACTGTAAAACAACAGATGCTGGAGGGGATGTGGACAGAAGGGAACCTTACTGCATTGTTGGCAGGAGTGTAAACTTGTTCAACCACTTTGGAAAGTAGTATGGAGGTTCCTCAAAAGACTCCACATAGAGCTCCCCTATGACCCAGCAATCCCACTTTTGGGCATTTACCCAAATGTCTACAAACAAGACCACACTAAAGCTACCAGCACGACTATATTTATTGCAGTTTTATTTACCATAGCTAAGATATGGAACCAACCCAGATACCCCCTCAGTAGATGAATGGATCAAGAAAATGTGGTATATATACACAACGGAATTCTATGCCTCCATCAGAAAGAATGACATTGCCATTTGTTAGG